CGCCACCGCCACCGCCACCCCCGCCGCCACCGCCACCACCGCCACCGCCGCCACCGCCACCACCGCCACCACCACCACCACCGCCACCACCACAAGGACCAAGGCCAAGGCCAGGGCCAAGGAGACCAACTACACGAAGGGCACATTTCCCACAACAAGCACCGACAGCTACAAAAGTAAAAACTGCCACAGTGACGACCACGACGACGACGACAAAAAGGACATAAAGGTGTTCGAGAGCCTGAGGATGTGACTCATATCCCCCTAGCCGGGGCATTTGCAAACAACGTGAGAGCCAAGCCCCACATCTTTAAGCCTTGCTTGCTTGGGCATTGGCGAGGTTTCGTTAACAGCTTCGACTGGTTCTCAGCTAAGTTGGAGGTGTAGAGGGAAGCGTCCTTACTAAAGCAACAAACGCCAGCAAAAGGTCGTACCCTGCAGGACAGGGGAGGCCTTTTGAAACTGATTGCCGTCACCGTAGTTGTGTCTTCGCCCGCTGGAAACTACTGCAATTGCTTTCAGCATTGAAGGCTCCGGAGGAACGCCTTTCGCGCCTGGAGCGGGAACAGCGTGCAGCAGCACTAGAGCTCAGGCGTGTAAAGGGAGGAAGCATGAGCAGTCTGGTGTGGTGGTAGTGAGACAGATGGGAAATTGGAGGTGTGACGGACTTCGCTCAAGCTTGGCCGACCCATGCAAGCGTTTCTACAGTTTGGCTCCCGAGAGCAAGAATGAGCCTCGCGAGGTTGGCGTCGTCGTCTGCTGAGGAGGCCCCCCCCCGCTGTTGCTGCAAAGGTATGGCCACATTGGATCCACACAGAACGAGGCCTCGCAGCGGCAGCAGCAGCGGCTGCGAGCCCTGGAGGGGCGCCTGGAGGCCGGAAAGCTCAGACTTTGACCTACTTTGGTAGGTTTCTTTGCCGGTTCTTCAGGTGACGGGGATACTGTAGCTTGCCAGTAGTTCGTACATTTCAGTTCCGTGCCCCACCCATTTTGCAAGGATGCGCTGGAGTCCCGGCTGTTGGCCTGGGAGGCAGCAGCCACCAAACCTGGCGATGCACAGAGGCCTGGAGAGACAGCGCTGGGTGAAATCAAGTCTTCCGCAAAGAGTTTATGCCGGAGCAAAAGATTCGTATCTCAGCATCTCCTGCATCTGAAGCTTGGGGTGACAGGACACCGGAGACAGAGCCAGTGGCGCTCCATCTTCGGAGCCTAGGCGTGCTCTCCGCTGGCACAGTGAGACCGTGGGTCAAGAAAACTCCACTAGGGCACTTTTGATGTAGTTGTTTTACATGGACTGAGATAACCGAAAACGTCAGAACAGTATCCACGAATACGAACTTGTCGCTGCAAAGCGGCGATCACTCTGGCTATCTGCGTCTGTCCGACTAGGTTCGAGAGCCCCCAGGGCCCTAGGGTTTCAAGCGTTTCAAGGGTTTCAAGGCTGCGTAGTTTCCCGGGGGTTCGGGAAACCCGAAGGAAGGTCGGCTACTCTGCATCCAGAGGAAAATTTTGAGGATCTTGGTGGGCCTAGAATCCACTTTCCTCGCTTTGCGGAGCTTGTCAGTTGCCTCGCCTTTTCGAGCTGACGAGCGGCTTCTTGCAGAGCCGCTGGGAGGGCAGAGATGGTAGGGTTCTGACGAAGTCTCAGTGCAGATCCTGAAAGGACCGCTGAAAGGCCGCTGAAGGCCAGAAAGGCTCCTATATAAGGTCATGTCTCTTGTGTGATCCGAGGCTTCGTCAGGAAGTGGCCTCGGAGGCAAGTGGTCTTCGGATTGCCCCTGGGCTCGGCTTTCGAACTTCAGGCCAAGGTTGGGTTTAGGCTTTGGAAACGAAGCTTCTCGACGAAAGGCGGCTCGAACTGCAGCCACCTTCAAAGCAGAACCTTGCAAAGCCTGACATAATCTGACACATGCCACAGTGGATTTACTTGCTCTGCACTCACAGGTTCAGGGCTAGAGGAACCTGGGGCGCGAGGAGTCGAGGGAAGCCGAGTTTACAAGAGCTCGCTTCGGATACGCTCAGCAGATCAGATCAGCGTTCGCCCATCTGCAAGTCCGCGCCCACGCCCTCCGGGGCTTCAGTGTGTTTTCGATATCAAGCCTCGCATGACCAGCGCGGAACCATGAGAACTTGTCGGTGAAGCGCCAGGTGTCGGCAGAAGTGCGGCTGCTGCGCACACAAATGGACGAGGCAGCAACTGCCGGAAAAGCTCTTCGCTGCATTGCCTGTGATGCGGCAATGCAGTCAGACTGAAGTGGTTGACATGCTGGTTGTGACTTCCGCGACCGGCCACGGTGGCCGACTACTTGTGCAGCCAGGTGCATCGGCGGAGCGCTAGCACATTCAGCGAGCAGCTTAAGCTTGGATCTGTCGCTTTCGGCCTTGCACGGCTTTGCGACCGATGAACCTTCACCCTGGCAAGCTGCTGGGAGAAAAGGCTAGGCCGTCACAAATGATTGCTGCGACATCGGATGTTAAACTTGTGGATGACCATGACGAAACTGGACCACAGAGTGGGTTTGACTGATTTGACGGTCGTGTCAGACAGGCACCTCATCTACTCGGAGTAGCATCGCAGTGGTGCCAAGGAAGCAAAGAACTGCGGTGTTGCCAATGTATCGCTCACTGCGGAGGGAAACCAAGTACCCCTGAAACCTGAGCTTTTGGGTCATTTCCGGCGCCGAGGCGAGACATTGGAAGCCCGCGTCGCAGGCACGGCGCTTTCAGGCATCTCCTCGCTTCACAGAGAGCCCAAAAGCGATAACGACGACAGGTCTTGCGGATGCAGTTGAGGAGCTCCGGACGCAGCTGGACGCCAGGGGCCCTTGTAGAGACTTCCCCGAAACAAGGCTTCTCTGTGAGAGAAGGCGAAGTTACGTCGAAATTCGCAGTCAGGAGTGAAGTAAGCCGTCCCCAAGACAACAGAAGAAGTCCATAGAGTTCCTGCCGGTGCCCATTTGCCATGCCTGTTCTGTTTCGGGGGCTCTGAGCATCCTCAGGCTGCTTGACTAGAGAGGCTTGAGGTTCGGGGTTTCAGTATCTAGAAGTTGTTAGGGCTCGAGGTAACGAGAGTTGATACTGTTCGTTTGGTCTGAGGTTGGGATGTTAGACTTTTTCTCCAAGCCTGCTCTGACCTCTGGTCTGTCCCGCTGCAAAGACCGACAGTTCCGGCTCCGGCACTAGATTTAGCTTCAAACTTCACCCCTGGCTTCTCGACACCGGTCTGGTGCCTTTCTGGCGTCCGCATGACTTGCACGGCATATGTGGAGCCAATGCCCAAAATCATGTCATGTTTGTACAGCTGACAGCTGTGCTGGGGCCGGTGTGCTTGTGAGACTTGTCTAAGAAGGCCTGGCTAGTGTTTTTGAGTGCAGGATTGGCATGTATTGGCATGTATGCGCTCATCCACCGGCTGGCCATCTCGGTCGTCTGTTCTCCGGCCGTCGTGACTTGGGGTCTTGTGCCTTCGAAAAGATGAGGAGTAGCGTAGCGCTCTGGCTCCCTTGCACCCTGCCATAGGCCAGCTGAGATAATGTCGTTTCTGAGCCGCACACAACCTGTCCTTCGCCAAGGCACCACCCAAACAGCACGAGGACGAGCGCGACATGGCCCACTTGTCTGGAAGGTATCAGTTTAGGAGATAAACTCGGGCTTGCAGCCTGCTTCTGTCGTTGCATGCAGAGTCGGGAAAGGATTATGCACAGCCGTGTCGAGCAGGACAGCGCTTGCAGTCCTATGTCACCGACGCGTCCAGGAGACTCTGAGGCAAGGCTCTCTTTGCATCCTTCCAGATCATGCCCAGGGATCTAGGACAGCTAGGAGAGGGGTTCGTGATCAGAGATGGTGGCAGAGGCGGATCCGGCACCGGCTCAGGCCGTGTCGTCTCCATCCGGCGTTGGTGCCAAGGCGGCCGCTCATTGAAAATGCTGCGAACTTTGCAACCGTAGGCCAAACAGTGACAAAGAGATCCACAAGTCGTACTTCAATTCGGGAGTGATACGGCCCGGTCTGCCTCTTGCCATGTGCTGCAATCACCCAGTTCGACCGCGTGTGCACAGGTGGAAGTGCTCCAAGATTTCACGGCTGAGCTGCGCGCCCTGGTGGAGGCCATGCGGCCAGCACGCCGGAGCGGTAACATCAGGGACAGAGAGACTCGCGGCTTAGAGTCGCAGAGCCGTGCCAACGATCCATGTCGTTCGTTGGAGCGCTTGTGCATGAGATGCTAACTTCATTCTGCAGAGTGATGTGTTACGGTATCTTGATGATAACGATACCGATGGAATCGGGACTAGAACACCTCTGGGTTCTTTCCCAGTTCGTGTCTTTCTGAGTCTCACTGACGCTCGTGTCACTCTGATCAGTACTAGTACCCCTTATCGGTCAATTTTGAGTTTCATCCCTTAGCAGTTGCGCAGAGAGGACGCCTCCCGAACGGGATGCCGGCCAAGCGCCTCTCGTGCCCAGCAAAGAGATATTTATATATATATATATATAGATATTATTTTGAGCTAAGACTGCTTGGCGCAGGAGCGCTTGCTGATTTCCCTGGCAGAGCTGGAGCAGCAGGCACGCTTCAGGGTTCTGGGCTTCACTGAAACTCGCGCTTGCCAGCACTCGAAACTGGGTCCACGTCGCTCTTTGTGTGGTTTGCGAGGTGCCGCAGCTTTGCCGCCAACAAGAGTCGGATGCTCGGGGTTCGGCTTGAGGCAGTGTTGCGGCGTGCCGCATCTGTGCTGCCCGAGATCGAGAATCCCCATGCTGGTACGGGCCCTATGTACCTGAGGCTGCAAGCTGCGGACACCGCCGACCGAGCAGGAAAGCTGCAGGAGTTTGAGGTGCGACAACTGGTTGGATGAAAGCATGCAGCTGCTGTGGAGCCAGCTGGCGCTGCATGTTGCCCAGAGACTCCGGATTGTGAGTGCAGCCCATGACCACACAGGTCCGGATGGAGATGGTGTCTCGACGCTTGGGGACGCAGGAAGAAAGGCGCGACGAGCAAGTCTCTTGATAGTTCCGAGTGGGTCACCAAGCCCTTGGAGGGCAGCTTGCAAGGACCAGCTACGAGAAACAATGGTTCGAGTCTACCCCAAAATTTTCAACTCACATGAACACGCAACCACATCCGGCCCGGAGGCAGGCGATCCCAAAGCCACGGAGCACCGCCGTAGGGGCCCTTTTTTGGCACTTAACGTGGAGTCTCGGAGGTTGCAGAGCTGCTTCGATCGGATGGAGCGGCTCCCGCAGCTGCCGCAGCCTGGGGCCCAGGGCAAGCGGACGCCAGCGGGAGTGTGAGATGATGGGAGACAGGGTCCCTACAAGTCCGATGCGGCACGGCGATCACCTGTCCCCAGCTTCCGAGGATGGGATGCGTAGCCATTGTTTTGCATCATGGAGTTATGGTGCTTTTCCGACACTGACTGCACGATGCGAGGGCTCAGTGCAAGGACAGGTAGCCAAGAAGGCTATCTCCGCTTCACGCTGAATGCTAGTGCTTGCACTAGCGAAGGACCAACCTCAGCGGGCTCATGAACGGAAGCCCCTCGAACCAGTATCGCACTGCGATGCGCGAATGGCAGAGTGCATCCAGCGCCTTCGGGCAGAGTGTGAAATTGCGTGCCCGAAACCGGAGAGCCCGGCTAGAACAAGCCCCTTGAGATAAAGATAGCGCACGGGAGAAAGCGAACGACGGCCGCGGTGCCCACCTGCCGGTGAGCTTCTGCCTTGCAGAAGAGGCGACTATCAAGTCTCTCTGGCCATTGCTGCTTCCAGATCGTTAAAGCTTCTGTTGTCCCATGGATCTCTCTCTCCCTCATGGAAGCCTGCTGTTTGTCTTTCCACACTGTCTTATCCGTACTTACATATGCCATGGACAGAGTCTTTCTGTTCATCCCAGCAGCCAAAATGAGCACAGTTCGTTGTAAATCCATTGGTCGTACTTGCAAGATCAAATCATGTTTGCGAGCATGGCACTTCTGCTAAAAAAGTACCGACTGCAGCTGCTAGGACACCTCTACAGACACCCAAAAATCTCTGGAACAATGGGTGACGGCCTTGAGCTGACATGCACATGGGCATGTTAGCGCAACCAACTGAGCGGGACGACCCAAGCCGCACCTGGTCGAAGCGGCCAGCAGCATAAACTGTCTGGTATCTGACCAGCCTCCGAAGCACAAATGTATACGACTCCGATCCACCGTGCAATCGTGCTCAGCCCATGCGCCCCCATGACAGAGTCCTCCGCGTGTCGTTGTACCGTTGGCACCAAATGCTCCATCGTCAAGCCCATCTTCTGAGTGTCCTTGTACCTCGGGCACCACGTGCTGTATGCTCTATTGCCGGCTTCCTCTGCCTTCGGCGATTGGTTTTCTCCCTTCTTGTCTGGCTTTTGCGTTGCTTGGGGTTTGGTGGTCGGTTCGTTTGTCAGGCTGCTGTGTTCCGAAATGATGCCGATGTCCTGGTTTTTGTTGTTTCCCGGTCGCCCTATCACTCCCTCCAACGATTGGATGGGTTGAAGCCCTTGGTGTTGTTCCCCTCGGCACCTAGACTAAAGATGACTTCAGCACCGCTTCCACTGATGGATGTGGCATTAGCGCTGCCCGAGAACTCCATGGCCGATTTTTGAGCCGTCGCCCCACTTTGCCTTCAGGCTTCGCAAGCTCTGCCGCGAGGAGGCCCAGAAGCGGCTTGGCGAGGCTTGGGCAGTTTTGGAGAGATTCCGAGAGGCTTTCGGATTTTGGTTCCTTTCGCCAGGATTTGGCGGCGCAGATGTGATGTCTGTGACGTCTTCCCCCAGCTCCAAAAAGCCCCCCCCCCCCAACGGCCCCAAATGTCTTCCCCCAGCTCCCCAAAAGGCCCCGAAACGGCCCCCAAAACCCTGTAGAAACGAAGAGCTCCGATGCATCGCAGGAGCTTCCCGGCCTTTCCGGTGAACTCTCGAGGCAACAGGAAGTCCTCGAGGAGGCCTCGGAGCCCCGAGGAATCTTACGGCTTTTTGATTTATCACTTACATCACTTACATTACTATACATATATATATATATAT